TATAGGTACCGAACTAAACAAAATATGATATCACAAAATAGAGGATAATATTATTATTGTACCTACTGTTGGGGCCTCTTTGTTTTCACTTTTCACTTTTAACAATAATTATAATTTAATCTATAAACGGATACCAATGTGGTGATTAATTATTTACTTTATTTTTAAACAAATATGGTATCGATTCATTGACATAAAGTTTAAACATTAAAAGTAAGTATTTTTACATAGGTAGTATATTAGTTTATATTTTATTGTAATTAACTCAATTATTCTCAATGGTTTCATAACTTTGCATAGAATATATTGGCAAACGCACTTTAAATTCTATTCGATAAGTCTTAACTTGAAAAAAAAAATACCAATTTGAAATCGCATTAAGTAATAAAATATAGTTTTCTTGTTTTTTGTTATAAATTAATACCTTTAAAGTAGGTAATACAATATTTAACCTTTGCAGGATAAACCATCATTACTCTAAATAACTTTATTAGATAGATAAAACATCATATATTATATAATATAAAAGTGACGCTAATTTGTTAGATGGTGAACACAAATTTAAAGGTGTTTAAAAAAGTTTTTTTTTTATATAACGTGAAGATTAAAAGGGTTATTTATCGCTGACTAAAGCCGAAGAATGTATTAATCTGCGCGGCCCGTCGACTTGCGTTGTTAATAACCGGATCGCATCGGACTAAATCTCGCGTGCAAAAGGGTGTAACAGGCCCTTGTGAAAAAAAGTCATTGAAAAATTATTCACCTTTTCTGGATTAACCTTAGTTTTAAAACAACAGTAATAATAACTCTTGATTTATGTACCGGGACCGAAGAAATTTAAAAAAAAAAAAATAATAATATTATTTTTGAAATGATCTACACCCTACAATGTTTACTCTGTGTAAGACCAATTTTTAAAAATAATAAGTTTAAACGTTGGCCTCAAACCCAAATTCATCTTTTTGACAATCGTTTACGGCAATGTAATATCAATGATAATAATACGAATCGGTGGCGTCGGAAAAAGTACAATGAAAAAATTGATTCGAAAAATCGATTTATTGAAATGCAAAATAAAATATGTATTATGACCAAGATGCAATACGCTTTTTAACAACATAATATGTCATTTACGAACTGCTAACGAGTTCAGACGACAGACGATCAGTGGCACATCTAGAAATATCTCACGAGAAGGATGAAGATATTTTTTTTAACACAGTATACTGTGGGGAGGTTCTAACATACCCATCAAAGCACTATAAAAGGAATCCAATTTATTTCCACATAAAAAAAAAAATATGCTATGATTGTAAACATGATTGTTGTCATTATTAACTAGGAATTGAATTTTCAGAAAAACAGGTATTTTTCTAGAGCACGGAAAATTTTGAACTACAACAAAAAACAACTAAAATTGTTATTCTTCGTTTAAATATATTTTTTTTTTAGATTTGTTGGTTTCGGTAATAAGTACTTACGAGGAACATAGTATTGAGTTTTCAAGACAACTATAAAAAATGTAATATTTAATAACTTATTAACAAAAAAATAATTTGCACATTTTGCACATTTTTAATTTTGTCAAAATGTCAACTTAAAATGCTTATAAGAAAAATCGTGGCTATATGATGTTCACATAGAAACAGAAAAAAAACCACATCATTGTAAAATAAATACAACCTTTCAGAATCTAAAACATAGACAAAGGAACAATACGTTATTTTCAATCAAAACAAATTTTGATAATAAATAAAGCTATGATAATATGACATACAATGTACAGACTGACTTCAAATAGCTTTAAACTAAAGCAAAACTAAAGCAGAAAATTGAATTCGTTATTGCACCATAAAATTCAGTAAAAATAAAAGTACAAAAGTTAGAAAAATAATACAAAAAATACAAAAAATACGATTACCAGTCAAAGAAGAAAAATATAGAAATTTAGTAAACTAGTATCGTATAGTACCATTGTAGTGGTAAATCACATATTTAAAATAATAACTCAACGGTATAAATTCAAATTTAAATAGGAATAATAATAACTGGTATATTACCAACATGAATATTTCATCTAAATATTATATTTAATAATACAAAATTGAACATGATGGTATCCATGAGATGCCAACGGGCCACAATTACCTCTCCACAGTAATTACGTCACTTCAGGCGATGTTCATGACGTATTGTATTGGAGGTTTCATTTCATACCGACCGAAGATTCGGTGTTTTCAAACTTTTATTCCGGATTCACTTTTCCAGGTCGCTGTACATTGAAAGTAAAAGTTCTGTTTTTCTTTAAGGACAATTAAAGACGTTTGATTAAGATTTACAAGTCGTTAAAAGTTCAAACGATAAAAATAATTAAAAAAAAAAAAAAGAACATTTTCTGAATGAAATACAATATTAGGTTTATCCTTTTCCTATGGGCTATGAGTAATATGCCCGAGCTTTTTGAGACTGGTAAAACAAAGTTAATAGTTGGATAAAATCAATAACCAATTATTATAATGTTTTCTAAATAACAAAATCAAAAACAACATTCATAAGCAACATAAAAACTTTTATATTTAATATACATTTTGGTTTATCCTAACATTAAACATTTTACAAGTTTACAACAAATAATAACAACGAATAGATAGGTACGTCATAAGTCATAACGATTACATAAACAGATTTTTGGACTTTTAGATTACATTTTTTTCTTGTACAAATAATTACTAACTATATTATGTACATATAACTATATACGTATCTAACAAATCACATAAATCACCTGGTAAAAAAGTTACGAAATATTATAAGATTAAGGATATCTTATGCATTGTTCAGTAAACAGTAAATACTAAGTTTACAATATTATAGTTGTTCATGTGTACGACATTGAATTATTAATTTAGTAATTTTGATGTTTTGATGAAAATAATAAAATATTTATAAACATTTTTTTAAACGACAGGGATTGAGGAAAAAATAATTTCAGAATAAACCACTTTGTTGGTTTTAAAAATAAAACACTGTTTGAGTAATAAAAATAAAGCACAACTT